ATGCCAATTCTCAATTTCGGAGGATTTTATTCTTTATTTATTTATTTTTTTTTTGTTCCCCTTTTGAATGTTCATCAGATATAATTCAATGTTCGACGTAGCAAATAACCAGGAAAGTAGTTGTTTTCTGTTGAATATTCAGAATGATGTGTGTATATACATATTTTTGTCTGAAGGAGAATGCAAATTCTCAATTTCAGAAATTTTTATATTTTATTTTCAAACTCTTATCGTGTGTGTTCAATAGATATAATTCAATGTTCGTCGTGGCATATAGCCAGGAAAGTAGTTGTTTTCTATTGAATTAACTGAAAAAGAGTAAATATTCTCATCACATAGAGAATGCGAATTCTCAATGTATTGCTTTATATAGGTATATATCCATTTTTGTATGTTCATGATTTATCTGAGAATATTCCTTTTCAAATGTTAATGCTTTTAGATGTTTTTATTACAATAATAATGTTTAAATTGTTGTACCTTTATTGTTAGATTTTCCACATTCCTTCTTGAATCCAAGTAGTATCCAAGTATATTAGTCTGTGTGATGAGTAAATCAACTTCTTTCCCTCACGTCATATAGTAAAATGTTCATTTCTCACGTTGCATGCACAAACGGTAGGTAGGTAGATATTTTTTATCATTTTTCACACGTTATTCTACCAAACGCGCATGTGTTCGTACGCCACTGGATGCCTTCTCTATATAGATATCTCCAACTTCTTATATATCGTTCGATAGAAAAAACTGCAAGCTTCATTTTTTCTTTCGTTTAATTTTTCGATTCTTTGGGCCGTTTAATAGTTATGAGGAAAATCATGACAACCCCCTCCTCCCATATATTTTTTATTGGGAGCTGACATTGAGATTTTTGATCAATCAAAAAATATCTAACAGATGTAAAATTCAATTTTCTTTCGAATGGCGCAAATCGCAAATCTTTATCTCTCACCGTTTTTGAGAAAATAATATTTATATGCAACTGTGCGCACCACCCCTTCGAGAAGGGGGTGGGGGTGTCTCCGCGGGTTTCAGGGGTGGGTCTGCCCCTGAATCTCTTTATTTCTACTTACTCTATGCCTGTTCAAAAGGATTTGCTTTTACTCAGAAGGGGAAGTATCGACCATCGTAGGACCTTAGCTAATACAAAGAGCACAACGAAACTTGGGTTTCATTCTAAGGGCCACATAATCTTTTGAAAAATCAGAATCGATAATAATTTTATACAACTCGATAGTTAAATCAATTTTGGAATATGCCTCGACAATTTGGAACCCAATTTATGGTACTTATGTAGACAGGATCAAAAATACTCAACGGAAATTGATCAACAAACTAAACTACAAGTTCTATAGAAATCGGCACAACTTCTCGTATGAAAGCAATTTGAAATTTTATAAACTTCAACATTTACGTCAGAGAAGAGAGTTTTCCGATGTTTGTCTGATATAAAAACTATACAATAACCTTATCGATTCCAGATACTGTCTTCACTATGTATCCATAAATTGTTCTCCTTATATCATTAGAAATAGAAGTCTCCTTTTGACTCCTGAAAGTAGAACAAATTACGTTCTGAATTCTCCTGTACACAGATGTGTTAAATCTTGTAACTCAGATCTGAGTGATAATAGAAATAGTAATATTGATATTTTCTCGCAAAACCTTATTAAATTCAAGAGATGTCTGAAAAAAATTATTTATTCATAAGTTCATGAAAAAACTTATATGTTCCTTATTGATTACACCTCCATTGTTTCAATATACAGGGTGTTTCGAAATTCGACCGACAACGTTTGACAGGTGATAGCCCTCGTGATTTCATAATCATTGAGATAGGAACATTCGGTCTTCAAGTGTTCAGTTCTCGAGATACAGGGCGTTGAAGTTGAGAAATGAAAATAGTTGTTTCGCAATATCTCAAGAATAATTGAATATAATGCATTCAACTTCGGTATATGGTTTCATCTTTGAATGGGCCATTTTTTGACCTGGAAGCCATTCCGGACATTTTGTCCAGTGGTGCCCTACAGGGGGTTGTGGCATTTTTTCCTTCCATATTTTCTACGCCACTGATTGAATTTCGATTATTTCCAATTCCTCGAATTCATTGTTCAATTTTGTTCAGAAAATGCATCACCTTCAACTGAGCTGAAATAAACAGTTTTCGAGATATTCGACCCAAAATAGAAGATTGCATAGTAATATTTCATCATTTTCAGTAGTAGAAAATTGCAAAAATATTTTTCTGGTGTTGAGTAGATTAGATACTATTCAGATCTCATTCCATAGCTGAACAGAAATAGTTATTCCACACATGAAGAGAAAACAAAAATTTTCGTAATTTTTTACTACCGAGGAAGATGAAAAATTACTATGCATACTTCTATTTTGGGTCAAATATCCCGATAACTGTTCATTTTAGCTCAGTTGAAGGTGATGCATTTTTTCAACATAACTGAACAAACAATTCGAGAAATTGGAAATAATTGAAATTTCATCAGTGGCGTAGAAAATATGGGAGGAAAAGTTATCACAACCCTCTGTAGCGCATCTCTGGATAAAATTCTCGGAATGTCTTTCTGGTCAAGAAATTAATCAGTGAAAGATGAAACCATATACCGAATTTGAATGCATTATATTAAATTATTCTTGAGATATTGCGAAAAAACTATTTAAATTTCTTAACTTCAACGCCCTGTATCTCGAGAACTGAACACTTCAAGACCGTCTGTCCCTATCTCAGTGATTATGAAATCACGAGGGCTATCACCTGTCAAGCGTTGTCGGTCGAATTTCGAAACACCCTGTATACTACTATGTCTTCTCGTGATTCCATGTACAGGGTGGCCAACTAAGAATCCAGAGTTCGATATCTCTGTTGTCTTGAGAGATAAAAAAAAAAGTTTTGCATTCAAATTAAAGTGATAACCGAGCTCCATATTTCAAAATTTCTTTGAAATACACAGGGTGTTCCGTAAGGTCACAGCACATCAAAGCTATGTTTTTTTTCATCGGAACACCCTATATTTTATTTCATTTTTAAATTCTCCCAGAAGATCTGATTTCAACGACGTATCATACTCAGGGTCTAGCAGTGAAAGTTACTGACATATAGGGTGTGCAAAATCGAGATTTTCCAAGTTCAGGATTTTTTTCTGTCGAAACTGTTCATTATTCGTCAAAACGGTTTACATGTCCCTATCTCAACTTTTCACTCACTATCAATTGGTGTTCAATTGACATTTAATTGAAACAAATTATAAATCAGAAATCTTTGACCACCTTGTATCAATTTCAATTGAACACCAATTGATAGTGAAAGGAAAGTTGAGATAGGGACATGTAAACCGTTTTGACGAATAATGAATAGTTTCGACAGCAAAGAATTCTGAACTTGGAAAATCTCGATTTTGTGCACCCTATATGTCAGTAACTTTCACTGCTAGACCCTGAGTATGATACGTCGTTGAAATCAGATCTTCAGGGAGAATTCAAAAATGAAATAAAATATAGGGCGTTCCAATGAAAAAAACATAGCTTCGATGTGCTGTGACCTTACGGAACACCCTGTGTATTTCAAAGAAATTTTGAAATGTTGAGCTCGATTATTACTTCAATTTTGATACATAATTTTTGTTGTATCTCTCAAGACAACAGAGAAATCGAACTGTGGAGTCTTAGTTGGCCACCCTGTACATATGATTTGAAATATTTTGAGAATCATTTTTGTTCCTTATACAGTGTCATTCATAAAGTCGGCATCATATGGGAAAAACTTTTATTAATGTCTTATTTTGGAATTCCAGTTGTACGTTGAGTTTTGCTTCAAAAAAGATGAAAAATGGCCTACTCAATCGGGGTCACGTGACTTTCGCAACATGTCAAAAGTGAAATTTTTTCAAATTAATCGCTGAAAGTAGGCTTATTTGTTCGAATATCGAAAAAGTTTACTTGAAAAAGTTGTTTCTATTTCAATTTTACACATGCTTCTCGAATTTGATCTTTCTATTGCAACTTTTAGATTTTCATTTTTTTTTTTAATTTTTAAAAATTTCTGTTATATTTGAAGAATTGTTTATTTCACGGAACTACTTCATACCAGTAGCTTTTTCATGCTACTCACTTTCAATTACTCATTATCACTGATTATGGACAAAAATATGCTTTTCTTCAGAAAATGATAATACCCGCTTCCAAATTCTGTTATATTTGATGCAAAGTTGATATATCATCAAGCATTTAGAAACGAAATTCATTCAAACTGATCTTTTCAGTACTGAAAAAATAAAATGAATTTCGTTTCTAAATGCTTAACTCAAACATAACAGCATTTTGATGTTATGTTTGCATCAAACAACAGAATTTTGAAGCGGAGATTATCATTTTCTGAAGAAAATCATATTTTTGTCGATAATTAGTGATAATTAGTGATTGAAAGTTAGTAGCATGATGAAGCTACTGGTATGAAGTAGTTATATCGAATTTACAATTTTTTTAATATTACAGAAATTTCGAAATTTTTTAAAAAATATCGATTTCTAAAAAATGTCATAGAAAGATAAAATCCGAGTCACTTATGTAAAATTGAAATAGAAACAACTTTTTCAAGTAAACTTTTTTGATATTCGAACAAATAAGCCTACTTTCAGCGATTAATTTTAAAAAATGTCACTTTTGACATGTTGCGAAAGTCACGTGACCCCGATTGAGTACGCCATTTTTCATCTTTTTTGAAGCAAAACCTGACGTCCAACTCGAATTTCAAAATAAGCCATTAATAAAAGTTTTTCCCATATGATGCTGACTTTATGAATGACACTGTATGACATTTGATTATTTTTTCCACTTTTTTTCTTTTCTTAAGCCACGACAACTTGTAACTATTGTTTATTTTTGTAATCTGTGCTACTCTATTATTGGGTTTCTGACCTGAGTGGCCTCAACTTGAATAAATAAATAAATAAATAAATAAAATAAATAAAGATATTCATATTCACCTCGATTTCGATGATTCCGCCCTCCCCTTCTGGATTTAGAAGAAGGCATGGTGGCTTGTTTTTTCAACTCCTCTTTCTTCCGGTCTTCTAGTAACTCTTTCCTATGTTTTTGCATTTCTTCCGGAGCATTTTGTATGATCTTGAATATAATAAGTAATATATACAGTGTGTCCCGCTTCAGGTGAATTTTAAAGTAGAATGATTCTATTGTTTCAATATGTACTACTCAACAGGACCTATCAGATGGTCTATGAATTGAGTTTGATCTACCATTTTATGGTAACAAATATTTCTTCACAAAAATCAGAAAACTATATTAGGTCTTATTTTATTTCGAAAAAGGATAGTTTCAACAAATTTTATTTACATTCACTAACAAAAAAAGGAGAGAGTTTTAGCCCTTTTCGAAAAATGCAGAATTTCATTAAACACCTTGTAACTCTCAAACGATGATAGATATCCATATGCGGTTTTAAAATTGGACATCCTTATTTTGAAGAAACTCCGTATTCAGGTATTTGAGACTTAGCGAATAGAATGAATCATAATATGCAATTATTTTCAGAAAAAAATGGATAATGTAGTTTCTTGATTTTTGTGATGTAATTTTGGTTACAGGGGGCAATTGAATGATAAACCAGACTCAATACATAGACCACCTGAGGAATTTTTCACAACGCTTTTATTAGCGTAGTTCGTATGTTTGTAACGAACGCGATTTTAGCAAGAGCCGGTAACAATAGCATAATTCAATTGTTTTGTTCTTTAATCCTGATCAGGATCTTCAGGATAAACGATTTTTACATCCAGTGAAACGTTAGTTTCACCAAGAACTAGTAAAAATTGAGGAAAAAAATAGTAGATTGTTTTATTAGGATCAAAAGTGACACTTTGTTTGACAAGCGAATTTTGCATTTGCGAGGCGGAGCGTTTAGCGAAGCCGAGCGGAAGCAAAATTTGCGAGTCGTACAAAGTCACTTCTGATCCGAATGAAACATGCTATTTTTTCTGCAACCGAAACAATTAACTTAAATAAACATGTGAAGTAACCACCAATGCCGTGCCATATGTATGCAATGCAACAAATAATCCATGTGGTGAGAATATTCTACCTGCATTAACAGCAGGTTAGGTTTTCTAGGATGTTCGAATTTTAGTTTCAATATAAATACAACAACAGAGTGACATATTTGTGTATGGACCAGGTGCTCTAATTGCAAATACCGCGCCAGTGCCAGCTATAGGAACAAGACGTGGAAAATGTTAGGTTAGTGAGCATATCAACCATGATAATAGTGATCATTTATTCCTCTCTATACTACAGTGTGTTTGACTTGATAATCAAATGAAGCTAAACAATATCGTTGTTTGAGACTAAAACTATTGCTTGCTGTGATTATTCAAAAACAAGTTATTCATCCCTAGAAAAACGAATGAAATACAGATCAAGCAAGTATTTGAATCTTGAAGGCTTCCCTGATCAAAACAAAAATACTTAACTGGGATGTACTGAGATGTTTTTAATTCCAATACTTAACTATAATAAGATGTATTGTGTCACTTTTGGTCCTATTAAAACAATCTACTATTTTGTAGCTAGCCGAACTGAAAAATAGAAAAGTAGTAAAAATAACTACAAAATAGGCACAATGCTCAAAGTGGAATGAAATGTTAAATAGATACAACAAGCTCAGTCATTTCCACACAATGTTCATGAAATAAACAACAATGATAGATTTCGGGAGAAAAACAACTACTTTCCTAGCTAATGCCACGCAGAACATTGAATTACATCCTACTGAAATCTATGCATCGATAAATACGAATAAAGTAAAATAATAATTTTCAATAGGTATATGTTTAAAATACGAAGAGAGTAAAATAGTATTACTCTATTCGTATTTTAATTAATTAGTAACTTTACAGCAGTACATTTAAAAAATAATATTTATTATAATCGTTCATTCTACTCCGAAATACGAGGATGGTTACACTTGAAACGGGACAAACTGTATACAGGGTGAGGCAATAGTGTATCAGAGTCTGATTGCTTGAATGCTATGATAGCTAGAAACATGAATCAGAAAAATTAGTAAACTGGACAAAAGGGTCTATGACAAGAAATTATTGCTATATATACAGGGCGCACAAGAAATATTAGAAATGCAAGCGGATTCTCTGATTTTTTATGGTTGTTATGTTGCATTCCTCTGAATAGGATTGATTCTTGTTCAGTTTATATAAATAGAACATGATATTCGCTTCTAAAATCTGAACATGAAAATGGTGAATTCAGGATCAATTAGAACAACATTGTAACACACATTTTCTTTGACTAGTTATTTCACTTTTTTCACTCATCTTACAACTGGTCTTATCGCGAAAACATTAGCTGCCTTTCATTTCTGATTGGTCTATCAGCGTTGGTATTTTCAACGATGTAACTATTAATCATTCCAGAATTACGTCATTTGACAAGATGCTGGGGGGCAAACATTGTATTTTGTCAAGATTTGTCATATAAAACCAGAATAAGTGGGATCGTTCTCCTTGGAATTCGAGTTGGAACCAGAAAAAATTCCATAATTTTGTTTGGTGAAACTGTTATTATATTGTGGATGTAGCAGGGATGGCCAGGGCTAAGCTCATCAAAGGTAACCTGACAGATAGTTTGTGTGCCCCTCAAGAAACCATGTCAAAATTGCGTGTTCTAGAATGATCAATAGAGCAAAGTAAAGTCTGTCTGTATGACTTAACATTATAATAGCTGTAGATATGAGAATGAATCGCTTTGATTATATGACTTGTTCATTTATAATCCTTGAAGTTTTAACTACCTAATATACATAAAAAACGAGAAAATTTATAGAAACATAATTCAATATATAATTATCAAACGTGAACAGAGAATAATTTCTATTTGCCCAATGCTTCTCCTCGACCTCTGCCTCTATAGTTTGAACGCATTTTTTTAATACCTGTTTGTTCACTTAGACTGTATGTTTTATTGTATTTCATATATCCAAATATTTGTACTGACTTGACTTGTCCGATAGCATATAACTGCTCTGTGGATTAAATAAACTTGAACTTCGAACTTAATAAATGGTTAAAGCAACGCAATTTCGTCAACAACAAAGCGACATAATTATCTCGAATATTCAGAACATCGTGCTATTACTGATGACAATTTTTATACCTGAAAAGTGTCAAAAAACGAAAAAGCTCCGTTCCCGTAATATCTAAAGATGAGTAATATTGTATATCTTTCCAATACACCTACATTCTTTATTTTTCAAACATTTTGGCCACGAATGGTCCAGGGTGGTCAAACTTTACACAACGCACATGTTGGGAATGACGAGCAAGCTATGTCCTAGGACAGGGTCCTTTTCAAAGCCAATGTCAGCGAGTTGCTCAGGCCGAGCAAGAATTCAAATGTTCGGATTGCTGCTATCATGATCTCTCTAATTTATCGTTAATTGATGCTTAGTGGAAAATAAAAGCAAAAACCACTATTCCGATAGTTCCAATGGGCTTCTACCATGGACTGGGGGGGGGGGGGGTTAGGGGTGGTTAGGGGATGGGTTAGGAGGAAGATGTAGGATTAACAGACGGATCTAATGCATGTCGGGAAAAATTCGGAGCAAGTCCGAGTGTGTATCAAAAGATGGTGCTGAGGGCATTGCACACTCCGCCCCGTTGAGCTGGATAAAGTCGCAGGTCGGTAGGTCGGTCTCAGGACGGTCAGTCCTCGGGCCGCCCGGACGACTTGCGAGATTTGGATTATTCATTTTATGTGAGGTGTTGGGATATTGGGAGCAATCAGTCTATAGGGGTGATTGGGAGGGTGGGAAAATTATTCCGGGGTTCCCCGGAAAACATCGCAGGCTTCATAAATCAGCCCATGCTTTCTGCGCGGGCCATGGTCTGCCCTGACTGATGTAATATTGTTCGTTAATTCGCTATTGCGTATATGGTGTGTATATAATTTATTGGCAAATTTGGGAATATACTCTTTGATGAGAGGCAGATCATGGCACTGTGAGTGTAGGTCTGCCACTCGAGTGTATCTATTACCATTGGTAATGATACGGAGTATCTTATTCTGTAGTATTTGTAGCCTGCTCATATGAGCATGCGAAATACTACAGAACACCGGGCAGGCGTATGTTAGCGTAGGTCGAATTATTTGTTTATAAATCAGGAGATTGTTGTCCAGTGTTAGCGGAGAATTCCCCGCCAACAGCGGATACAAGCTTCTGATTGTCGCATTGGCTTTTGATAATAAGTAATCGATGTTTGCGACAGTGAACCGATGTTTAGAAAGAATTTCCACTGGCTAGCAAATTTGCTCGATGCTCTCTCAGAGTTCCAATTTTCAGAACCGTGCTTGGAGGCCGATGCAATTTTCATAACTTCGGATTCTTCGGAATGATAGAGAATCAATGAAAATATTTCGGTAATGAAATAGCATTCATGAAATATTCAAACAAACCTGAACATTCTTTGCAGGAGATGAAATTTAAATTAAAGAAGTTTCGAATAGATTTGGCATAGAAAGAGCACGATTTTTGCATACACAATATATCAGAGAAATTGACTTTAGCAGCTCCTGAAGTGATACATTTTCATTTCCACTGCTCTGTGCTGGAACCGCACCTAATTGAAAAAAAAACTATACGGCGCCATATGTCCTTGCTCTTTGTTAGGATGTTCTGTAAATCTGCGAGTGGAAAGCGCTTTAAATGAATTGGTACTGTCTAAAATCAGTGCAGTGCTAAATATGTAACCACACCATGCGATATAGTCGAATACGCTATAAGTTTATGCCTAGAACATGGAATAGGAAAGTGCATAACTTTTTTTAGTATCCATAGCGGGTTATTAGTCTGTTTAAAAGCAACTTTAAGTCAAAAACCATTTTAATCTGAAAACCCATCTCCACAAAATATTTACCTTCTCAATGACATTATCCAATACTAATGTTGACGTTAATGACGTTATTCGACATCTGCAGATAGGACATTCTGATTTATTTTTTTTCCAAGTTTCAATACAAAATTTACAGAATGTGTGTGCACAGTTTAGTGTCGTTGCTTTCACGAACATTTCGGAACATATGGAGCACTGCATCTCGTCCTCCATTTCCTAAAAATAACATAATTATTTGACCATTATTGATTAAAATACCATGAGTGTCAACATAATTTCAAAATATTCGGTGATCAAGACCATATGCCCAGGTATAGGCACATGTGGATTCGAAAATTTCAAACCAAAATCATGAAGTAAATTGAAAAAACAAACTTGAAATGAGATTTCGATTTGATATGCAATTTTTCTTCGACAAGTCTTCGTTTTGAATTGGCGCCTTACCAGTGGTCAGGTAATACATGTAAAAAATATCAATAGTAGAGAAAACATTCTTACATCAATATTATCTTGTACTGCCTGTGTTGAGGATGATTTAGGTATTGCTTGATCAGGAAGTTCTTCTTTCACTTGTATATCATTTTCAGCCTTAGAAGGCCCTGGTTCATCAGTGCTAGGAGGATTTTCTACTGGAAAATAAATATAAGAACATTTCTTTGATAAAACCAGTCAGGTTACTTGATATTTCGAAACAAGTATTCAACAAACGAGTTAGAAATGGTTACCCGATGAAATCATCTTAATGGAACAAATGTATTGTGTTTTTTAGTTTTAATAGCAAAAATTTCGAACAAATAACCCATAACCAGTATATCCACATAGGCTCTCCAATATAAGAAAAAGTAATTTCCCTTGATTATTTGGGATTTTTGCTCTTCGTTTCTACAAAATAAAAATATGAGTATTATTTCAATATATGTGTAGTGGGATAAATCAGATGATTTACCCCAAAATGTCATTGCGTTAAAAAAAATGTTTTCTGTGACGGGAAAAAATTTGGCATTTCATCTCTTTTGGCAGGTTATAAAATGTCACTTTTCATAAATTATTTTTTCCCGTGGGAAAAAAGTGTGTACTTTTTTCCCGGATATATATCACATATATATATGTGGGAAAAAAGTGAGTACTTTTTTCCCGGATATATATCACATATATACAGGGTGTTTCAGATTTAAATGTACAAACGATACCTGCAGATTGGGGACACTTTGGTGGTTCCTATTCACCACCCATCGATATGTCTACCGTTTTTTATAACTGAGATACAGGACGTTATCTTGATTTTGGCAAAATCTTCATCTGGTTATAACTTTTGAACCACTTTGTATAATTTATCCATACTTGGTAGAAATATTCCACTTATATTACCCATCAAAACCAAATAAAAATCCGGATCAGAATCCAGGTCCGTCTTGAGGAAAAACAGGAAACTTCTTTTATCTCAAAAACAACGCCCTGTATGGCAGGATTTGGTAGGTCTCTTCTGATATTTGGAAAGAGCGGGAAAAAATGAGATAAGTGACCTACTTTTTACGAGTGCGCATCTAATTTGACAGATGGTTTATTATCATGTTTTGAAATATTCAGCTCCATTTCGAGACATTTTTATTGAACTTATAATTCAAAATGCAATCTTAATACAAAAAAAGTACAGTCTTCAACATCATTAGAGTCAAATTAGGTGAACTATCGATAGATTTGTTGTGACAGAATCACTTGTCTATGGTATCATACATTTTTGAGGGCTCATTTTATTTTCCTCTATTAATTCACGAGCTGCGGTTGAGTAGGCTGTGCAAAAAAAATCTGATATTCTGACAGGTCATAATCACTAGTGTGATATTATTGGTAATGTTAATAATCATTTCTGGTGCTTGTATAGGGTTGTTACATTTCAAAGTGTTCATAATTGTGCCTACAATAACTTCACCAATAATATCGCAATTATAGTGATTATGAACTGTCAGAATTTTCATTTTTTCTTCACAGCCTACTTAACGCAGCTTATGAATAAATAGTGAAGTATAAAATGAGTCCTCGAAAAATGTTTAAAATCATCGACACATTATTCTGTCAAACAAACAAAGGACCCCGCACTTTTTCTATATAAAAATGGCGTTCCGTCGAATTTCCCCAATTTTTGGTAAATGATAGTACTCGACATACTGATTGAATATGCCAAGTCCCAACTCAATCCTATGACTAGTTTACGAGATACAGGGTGTTGAAGTTGAAGAATACCTAATTTTTCTCGGCCTATATCTCTAAGATAGGACAAATGAATTCCAATTTTTCGGGAGCACGTAATAGTTATGCCCTTAGGCGCAAGAACTATATAGGTATTCGACCAAAACTGATTTTTATTACAGGGTGATTCTCATTTCAAATAATGTGTTTTTTTGAATATCTGAATATCAATGCTACAAATTGATAACAATTACAAAATGAGATTTATAGCCAAGTATGCTCTTCTTACATCAATTGAATTCGTAAAATATAATAATTATACATGGTGTTTCATTAATGCTGTTGATTGCATAATTGGTCTATCCTTAAGTTCATTGGGCCACCTCGTATTATCGGGTTGATTCCAGACATTCAAAATATTTTTGAAGGATGTATCCCAATGAGTTCCATGATATACAGAGTGATTCATCGATTGAAAAAATTGACAACCACGAAAAAATATTCAAAAACCACTATTTTTTTCATCACCCTCTAATTCGAAATTATTACCGTCGATGTAAGATTTTTTTCCACCAATATACTCAGTATGGATATTTCAATCAAATTGGGAATTTTCAGACCCATGCTATGACTAGTTTTTTTTTATACATCGAATAATGTGAAAATAATTATGGAAAAGTAATTACATAATAACACGAAAAATTGCTCCGAATCGCAAAACTAGTAGTCACTAGTCAACTATGTCAAAAAATGTGATTTGTTCGTAAACAAAATCTAGTGGTCTTATTATAGGTCCGCTAGCAAAACATCTCGAAAATGTTTTTCAGAAAACATCAAACAAATCACAATATGCCCCCGAAAAAATCTCATCAACGACACAACTCATCAACGATCCCACTCATATAAACGTGCTAAAACTCATGAGCGTTCCAAGTCGACAGCGGTTTTTCCCAACTCAATCCTATGACTATACTTTTCGAAAAAAATATGAAACTAAACTTCCGCAAACGCCTAGTGAGAGGTGCGCGTTAATATATTTTGCAACTCTCCTTTATCCAACCAACTTCCAATCTTTTGATCATACTGTATATTGTTAGAATCGAAGTTAGTATATGCACATCGGAAAGACACTAAAGTTGGAGTTTTGGTTATGTAGATATTCGTTACCGGGTTCAGTATAGACTTGAAAGAAAAATGGAATACAGGAACATCAGTAGGTACCGAGAAATCATCATTTATCCAACACATCAAAAATATAGTAAAATAATAATGAAACAATCTCGAAGCCTCTTTCTTCCACTCAATATCAATTCAGAATTGCAATCATAGATTTTGAAAAAATACATGAACCAACTCGTTTTCCAACATCTATTTGTTGGAAGAAATAGTGGCATTAGGTAATGTATATCGTAAGATATACATACCGTAATAGATCGATAGACATCCTCAAATAACTATAAAATTATATTTTAGGGTAAGTTTTAGTCCCAATTCAAGTTGACAACTGATATTTTCGGAATCGGCGGGGTCGAATTAGTCTAGAAACTTGGGTTGTCACGAATTAATAAGTATGTTTTACTTCGTAGAAGTCGAATTTGGATTATCGCAACCAGATAGAATATTTTTCAGTAGGCTTAGAAAACAAAATCATGATATCAATAAATGTGTCTGTCATCCAGCAACTTTCGGGTTGTCAGTATCTTAAAATATCATATCAGCGTATATCTTTATTCTGAGTATTTTTTAAGTCGTTTTCAGTAATTGTTTAGTGGATTTAGTGCGCATTATGGCATTTGCAAATAGGGTAAGATGTTATGTATGCGAAGGGAATTTCATTCCTAGACTCACAATTCGTATAAATCGTGAAGATAATGTTGATTTTCTGCAAATTGCAACATTTAGAAGACAAGCTGCTGGAAATCCTCCAATTGACATTTTTGATGATACCAGAGTGTGTTTCAATTGTCATAACAGTGTAATAATTGATATCAATGAGATGGAAAATAACCCAAACTGTCTTCGCCTAAATGTATTGAGTCCAGTAATGAGCCGTGCCTGCATAATCTGTAATGATCGTCAACATGTTCAGAGAATAACTCTTGCATGTAGGGTGAACATTTTTGTTGTAACGAATATTTATGTTCCGGACTTTCTGAGAATTTGTGGTCATCATCTTGACCCTCATGGATTTCTCTTGAATAATTTGCATGGAGGTTTGAATTTTATCAACAAACCCTATTTGATATCAAATATGCTTCAATTTCTACAGTGTATGAGAACAGTTGCCAATGAAAATAGACGTATTAGAAACTGGGATGATATTGATAGTTTTACAGAAGAAGAGTTCAAAGCTCTGACGTCGATTTCAAAAGAAGATTTTCAAGAACTTTATGGATTTTGTGATACAATCGAGCAAGGGGGAAATAGAAGGCATATCAAAAAGAAACATTTACTGACATTTCTAATCAAAATGAAACATGGAGTTTCAGATGAGTTTTTGAAAATCTTGTTTCATTTTTCTTCAAGACAAACAACTAGCTTGATAATATCGAATGTGAGGATATCTCTAATGCAAAGATTTGTAACTAATAATATTGGTTTCGACTCTATTACAAGAGACGATTATATTAATAGACACGTGTCTGTATACACCAATCAGCTATACAACCCTTCTCCCAATATCCCAAAAGCAATTGTGTATATAGACTGTACATATAACAAAATAGAAAAAAGTAGTAATTTCCGGATATTGAGACAATCCTACTGCTTCCATAAAAATGAGCACCTGGTTAAGCCTGAAATTATGGTCGCTCCTGATGGCTACATCTTGGCAATTAATGGTCCATACTTTTCTGATGCTAGAAATAATGATGCCACCATTCTGCAGCATGAGCTACAGAATGATATAAATAGAATGAGGACATGGTTTCAAGAAGGCGATGTAGTGATAGTCGATAGGGGTTATAGGGACTCTATTGGTCTTTTACAGGATCTTGGTCTCCATTACCATATGCCACCATTTCTACCACCAAACCAAAGACAACTCACAACAATCGAAACTAATAGGGCACGCTTAATTACTAGCACCAGATGGATTGTAGAGGCTAGAAATGGGCATTTCAAATCGATTTTCAAATTTTTCCGAGGAGCGATATCAATAACACATGTTGCAAAATTACGCGAATTCTATTTGATTGCTGGCGCCCTAATAAACAAATACCATCCTCCAATAAGGATGCCGGGCACATTGGAATTAGCTACACAAATGTTGCATGATATCGAAGAAGTCAACATTGTTCAGGCCCGAGTTGAGGCTGAAAACCTCCGTACAAGAAATGGTCGATGGTTTCGTTTGAACCATAGACATGTACCGACGTTTCCTCGACTTGACTTAGAATATTTGAAAACACTCACAGGGTCATATCACATTCACTTAGCTGCC